TCCAACATGTTCTCATTAGAAGTAGTGTTGGGAGAATTCATGGAGCTCACACAATGAGTGGCAAACAGATGAGTAACAAAACGTATAGTTCGAACTCCAGAGCAATAAGCAAGATCAGGCTAGACAACGTATAGATTTATGTGGAACATACCTGTAACTAGATAAGCTGGCAATCAGATCGAAGCCATTCAATTGCACATCTTCGTGAAGCTTCAGTAGCTGAGAGAAATATTCTTTGCGTTGATCGCTGGAAGCTGTCACTTCGAGTTATTTGATTCCAAATTATAAATTTAGAATGACTCACTCTGAATGGATATTTTCGTGTAAAAACCGAAGAACGCCTAAATACTTATCTGTAGCGCTGATGAAGCCCTCAGATTCTTCTTTCTAAAAAGGTACACGGATCAACGGAGGGATACGCGTCGTTGGGTAACATGGTTATACCATACGACAAAGACGACTTAAGGCACATACCGATGAATCAAAAGATGTATTCGTCCATAGATGACGTAAAAGTGCAAATCTGATGCAAGTTTTGACTGAAGAGACGGAGAAGTCGTCTCTGCAGAACGATGACCTACAAAAGTTTGATCGAACATGGCAGGAAATGAAGTCAGTTATTCAAATGCAAGCTCATCAAAAATCTTTATTAGGAAGTAGAAGCCATTTTTCCTAAGCTGTCAATCAAGGTTGTTCTAAAAGTATTCCCTCACTTCGACAAAAACATTTGTCTGCCTTATCGCACAAACCCCAAAGATATTTCGTAAAGATTTGTATCAGTCTCAGTAATGTCTAAATCACAGTTTGGAAGGTATAAGTTACCAAATCATCTGACATTCAAAATTCGAACAAATTTTTGCGAGTCTAAAAGTGAGGGTAAACAACGAAGTCTTGAAGAGATTGTAGATGTCTTTCTACGATAGAATTAGGTTTTGATGCTCTAATCCGTTCATTCTACGTAAATTCCTATTACTGACATAGTGCGCCAATAAGTTTTCAATCAAAGGCCCACAACAGAAAAGATTCCAACACATAAGCTTCCGAGACTCCGACAACAATGTAACCTTTAAACGCGGAATCAAAACCGGTAGATAGAAAAGATACTGACCTTATAAATCGGAGCAGTAGCGGATGTAACCTCATGTCTGTGAAGGAGGGGTTGAGCAGTACGTCCGCCAACATCTTGTTGAACGTTTCGTGAGAAAGGGAAAATGAGAAATGCCGGATGCAAAGTTGAGACAAGGTTCTTCGTGATACCCGAGAGGTAAACATGATCTGCTTTGTAGAGATGCATAACAGAATGATTATCTCACAAGTAAGACAAGCCAAGGAGGAGAACAGGCCATTTAAAAATTGTGAGCTAAGGGACTCGCCTTGCTCGATAACCAGAAGCTGTTTTTTCTGCAAAGTGTTAGGTGTGATAGTGCAAAAACATCTCATGGCTAGACTTACTTTACCGCTGCAGTCATCGAATCTGCTGACAACATCGTTGATACTTGTTTGTCCGGATTTGATTACCAAATGTTCACCAACTTCTCTACCAAGACCGCCTAGTACGCCATTTACTAGACGACTCACTTCAGCAGCACTGCATTGAACCACCGCTGTTTTTAATTTTCCTAAAAAGGAGATCAACCCACTTCGACCTGTATTCATATAGGATTAAATGAACTTACGCGACACTCGCCTCAGACCGAATATATTCTCGCGAAGTACCTCACTTGATAAGAAGAAACTGGTGATCTAGATTAGAACGAAGTTCCAATGACTAAAGTAAAGGACAAGGCAAACAGAAACCAACCTCTTCAAGAACGCCATTGAACACTGAATTAACATTGCTATCGATCTCATCATCGAAAGCGTCCAGAATGCTGAGATCTTTTGCACGGTAAACTTTTGCAGACCTATAAAACTGCAGTTTATCAACCGCCGTTGTTATCCTGAAAAAATAGTTTCCCTCAAAAAGTCAGCATATTCACACCCGGCTGATATTTGTTTCCTCTTCTCTCTTAGCCAAGATAGCGAAAATTCATTGGCTGAAGCTTTCATAAATCTAAGACGGCCCACCTTCGCGAATCCTCATGAGTGCCAAGTGGTCCAATACTTTTCAAAGAAAGAACACTACCACCGTCGCAATATGAAAATGAACTCATACCGATAGCCCACCCTGGAAGAAAAGGCCATAATCTAGCAATCCGTACTGAGAACTGCAAAAGGGGGCAAAAATGAAAACTCAAATTTTTGAAGTCGCGCCTTTCCGCGTTGTTGGACCAATGCCAAAACAGTGCCCTTTGAAAAGGGGCAAGTTATTCTTCGACTTACTTATTTTGATCCATAATTCTTCTTTCGCTTACTCA